CTTTTCAGCTAAAAGGAGAGATGCTTTCTCAATAAATTTTTCTTAGCAATTGTATCTTTCATTCTAAATAAGAATTCTAGCAACTTTGAAAATGCTATTATATTTTGTACTTTGAAACAGAAATTGTAACATTTAACATGTTCTGATCAAAACATTGTAGTTTATAAAAATAAATTTTGCACATTTTATATTCTAACTGTAAATGTTTAGTAAGTCTGAAGCAGGATATCTAATTTGAATTATCTTATAAATCAATAGATATTTCACTTGCATTTATTAAAATAACTTTTAGCTTCAAATATGTAGTTTGCAGACATACCATATTTAAGTTATTAGCCTCTCAGCACTTAATCAGAAAGTATCAATTTTCAGTCAGCATTATATTACTAAACTGAAAATTCAATATCAGTAATCCTCAATTTACAACCATTCATTTAACAACGGTTTGAAAATGTAACGGCAAGTGACTTAAGAGGTCACTTAAAAAATGATCCTTTAAGGATTTAAGTGGTCTTTTAAAAATGGTCACAGCATCCCCACAGTGACATGATCAGAATCTGGGCAATTGGCATGTATTTACAATAGCTGCAGCATCCTGGGACATCAGATCACTTTTTGCAACCTTCTCAGCCAGCTTCTGAACAAGCAAAGCCAATTGGGGAAGCCAGATTCGTTTTAACAATTGTATGGTTCACATTACAAATGCAGTGACTTGTTTAATAACCATGGCCAAAAAAGGTCATAAAATTGGGCATGATTCACTTAATAATTGCCTTACTTAACAATGTAAATTCTGGTCCTAATTGTGGCTATAAGTTGAAAACAATTTAGACCTTGTAATAATTTAAAAAATTGGATTCCTAAATGCAAATACCTTTTCAATGCATTCCAATAAACTTGAGACAGAATCACAGTTTCAATGTATTTGTTCATCTGACTGCCAAATAACCAACCATTAGTTTCAAAAATCAAATTTTATCAGAAAACAGTTTTTGTACTTTTTAAAAATAGTAATTCTGAATTTTCTGAAAAGTTGGTATGATTTGAATTGAGCAATTTTATAAATATATTTTTAAAGCAAAAAAGTGAGCTTAATTCTTTTTAAAAAGCTATCCAGTTTTAAAACAGAACAGAAGTTGTAGAAGATACAATAGAAGCTAAAAAAACATAACATGTTATTGAATGCTGATATATTTTAAAAATGTTGGTGATCAAAAATAAACATGGAAAACAACAATTGTGAGGGAAAAACCTTTCTTTGTTTGTATTCTATACAGATTCTTCTTTTCCATTTTTTATCCATTATCCAGGTACTCAGTTTTATTTTTTTCCAGATTAGTTAGCATGAAACAGATAAAGCTTCCACATTCAAAATTCATCATGTTTATTATCATAGAAAAAGGAAGGTTTTTTTTACTTTATATTAGATTGTTTAACAGTATAGCAAACTGTTATCAGCATATGCTTTGGGTAAGAACTGTGTATTACATCTTCCATGCATTTTGTTTATGTGCATTCTGTTTATGAGTGTGCTATGTCATATGATTCACTTCTTTAAAAGAAGACTCAACTAAAAGGACAGCTCTGATCTTCTGCATTCTAATATCTTATTAATCTTTATTAATAATAATTATTAATAATATATTCCAGTAGAACAAAGCAAAAGCAGCCACTTATAACTACTAAAGTTTCTTAAACACTAACAGAAAGACATTTGTTTATAGCTTTTATTGTTGATGCTTTGAAACAGTACTATTTAGGAAACACAAAGTACAGAAGGTGTTCATATTTAATTTTTTAAAATACCTTAAGCAAAACAAAGTGCTTAATTTTCAATTATTCAAGCCAATATGATGAAACTTGAGGGCAGTGATCTTTTGAAAAACCTGGTTTATAAACAGTAATCTTCTTCTTCTATAGATTCTTCATAAAAAAGCAATGATGCCTTATAAATTTTGAAAATTACAAAAGAAATATAAGTTGTTTATACACATACATACACAGACAGACATGCAATTAAAATTGGGTTAATGTGAAACCACAAATTTAGATACTTAATATATCATTCATATATATATATATATATATATATACACACACACACACACACACACACACACACATACATATATATAAATAAATAAATAAATTATCTGGCTTAGCTAATGTTTTCATCCCTTACTTTTTAAGTTTTTTTTTCCTTTCCTTACTTACCTTTTTTTAAAAAGTATTAGAAACAAAACTACTTGGTTCAGAATTGTTTATGAAATTATAGTAGAGCAAACAGTTGGAAAGGCCAAATGAACTTCTGATTATCTTCTGATTAACTTCTCATTAAGCTCTGAGATCCATATTAAAATGATTCCCAACAGATTTTATTTCTGCTTAATTCAGTCCCTAAAGATTCTGCATGCTATAGAATATTAAAAGACAGAAAATTAGGGTAGTAAAACTGTAACTCAAAATCAAAACCAAAGACATAATTAAACTAGTTGGGCTTGAAATAGTTTGAAATAAAATTATAGAATTGTATAGAATTACAGGTACCTTATGAATGCAATTGCAATAAGCTGGCACTTGCATGTAATAACACCTCTAGTGAAGAAGCAATTAGCATTTCCATTGATGTATATGGATATACATAATATGTTGTTCAGTTGTCAAGGTGTGTCATACTCCCCGCAACCCCATGGTATAGGTATATGCTCAATTATACGTATCATTAATGAAATTTTTCCTAACAATCAACCTCTTATTGAAACTTCAATAGCTTCCACTAACATGTATGGTAATAGGGAATAAGTCTCAGTCTTCTTTTGTATAAAAAAGTGCTTTGTTGCTTTAGTTGTCTTTTCCAATGTTATATTATATCATCTCATAAAAAGAATTAGTTTACAGTCTGGTGCACCTTTGTTGTTGTTTTCTTTATCAGTTATAGTTTGATCATTTTGCTGAAAGAATACTCATAACTGGATAAAGATACTTTGGTTGGACAAATATGTAATATAGTTACTTCCAGTACTTTGGAAACTACCTAATAAAAATGCAATTATGCTTAATAGCCATGCAATTTTGATAGAAATTTCTAAAACATTTTCATTTCTCAAGCTTTTCAGATAAAGCTTCTTTGATTTAACCACACAAAAAGTTCAATTTAATTCCACACCTTTAGCCATAATTTCTCATTGTCCGTTTTCTGTTTGCTATCTAGCTGAATATTTATTTCTCAAAGTTACTAACTGAACTTAAAGAAAGCTTTTAAAAATGAACAAACACCCTTAAAATCTATCCTAAAACTTTTGTTTGTGGAGAATAATGCTATTAAATACATTCATGTCTAACAGCTGTTTCTATAAAGTGGGCATAAAAGTAGATCAATAATAAAAATAGGGTAGTTCTAATCACAATCTGAATCCTGTCAATAGAAATAGAATGAAATAGAAAAAATGAAATAAAAGATTTTTTTGAACCATTCTCTAAGGTAACAGGGAGAAATTAGATTTGTTTGTTTTGAAAATTTGTATGCATAGAAAAGTTAAAGTTAACAAGTAAACTAAATCTGTCAGCTGGCCAATTTTGGAAGAAAGAAGTGGGAAGGAGAACTGGAAAACACTTTATACCATCTCCTTGCATAATAATTTCTGAGCAATCCCTGCACAGACAACAGTCCATTATTATCAAACAGTAAATTAACTTTCTGCTACTCTAATTTGATGCAAGTCTTTCCTTATAAAAAAAAACCCACATCCTTCTATTTGTTGCTAATTAGAATCAATGAGAACCTGTCCATCTACATTAAAAATTGCCAAAATGGATTGGAAATCTTAATTTTACCTGCTAAACTGACACTGAAAAATAAAGCGTTTTCCGAGAAGGGAAAAATAATCTACCCCTATCTCTGCATTACTGCCTACCAGACAAGTCCGGAAGGGTTCCAACCCGGCTGTTTGGAAAGTTCAGCCAAACCCCTCTAAGGCAAAAGCTTGAAGCCCCGCGTTTTCTGAACCGGACTTTCTTCCGCCCGCCTGAATGTCCACCTTCCCCTGGCCTTCCCTAGTCCCACAGACTCCTCCAAGCCGTCCCTGAACGACCTCGAAAGGCAGTGAAGTTTCGGCTAGGGTAAATTGTTTTCCCTCGCCAGTCTTTTATTAAACCTCCAGGCTAATCTGCTTTACCCAGCGGCTGCTAAGATTTGCAGTCTTTCGCTGGCCTTGAAGCGTCTCTTTCCTGACGGCATGAGCCGCAGAGAAGGGGGCATGGGAAAGTAGCCCGGGAGGGAGAGATCCCTCTCGTTCAAACGGCACAAGGGGTACCGAGGCTTTGCGGATCCCAGGCCTACCCGGGGACGAAAGAAGAAGAGCGCCCCGAGTTCCCCTCAGCAACGCTTCCCCCACCATCAACCCCCCCCCCCCCCGCCCACACACACACATATATACTGCTCTGGGCACCTCTCACTTTCCATCCACCCTGCATCGCTTCTGCCCGTCTCCCTGTCACCCTCTTCCTTACCGAGCTCGCTTTTCCCGGGAGATCGGCCTGCTTTCCAGGCGCCGAGGACAAGTGGACAGCCGCGGCCGGCTTCCACGGGGATGGCAATCGGGAGATGCGGGAAACGAAGCCGAGTGAGGATCGGAGCGAGCGCTCCGGAGCCTCTCCTCTGCCCGCTTTTGTTCAACCCTGGAGGCAAGGTTTGCCCGTCAGGCTGCCCTCTTCGGATCGCCGAGCCCGTCCGCGTCTCTCTTTCCTCAGCCGACTCTCCTCCTCCTCCTCCTCCTTCTTCCGACCGGCCCTCACAGTCTCGACTCAAGCCGATCCATCTCGGGCAGCCACAACAAGGCGACTGCTCCTCCCGCGACCAGCGGCGGCGCCCATTTATCAGGCCTCCGACCCGGAACTTTTATTGGCCGCCGGAGCCGTACGGGAACCGGATCTAGTGCCGGCTATATGGGCGGAGAGTAAGGCGGAGCCCGCCGGAGAGCAGCAAAATTCGGGCTTCAAGGATGCGTCCCTTTCTGGATAGTCTCCAAGGCTCCGTGGTAAGGAAAGCCGAGAGTTTCCAAAGATTAAAGCGCTCCGGCGCTTTCTTATCTCGCTCTCCGTCCTTGTAGCCCCGCTGCAGGGGCTCGTTAAGGGAGTCAATGGGAGAGCATTTGTTTGGCGGAAAAGCCGAAAGCCTCCGCGGTTCCCTCTCTCTATATAATACGAACACAGCATATATGTGTGTGTGTGTGTGTTGGTATTAATGCAGCCAGTTCAGCACTGATATGACTAGTTTGGGTAATGAAACGTCTGCAAGAAAAGTCATCCAGGTCATGGTGGTCCCAAAGGTGCTTTTTTTCAGGAGACAACGGGGCTTTCCTGTTTTTTTCTTTTGAAGACGTTTCGCTTCTCATCCAAGAAGCTTCTTCAGCTCTGACAGGACAGCAGGGAATGGAAAAAAAATGGAATAAAACAAAAACAAAGTCCAGTTGCCTCCTGAAAAAGCATCTTTAGGTCTGCAAGAAAACAAACAAGCTCAGAAAGCACCAAGGACCCTTCAGTTACCGATTTATACTAAGAAGTTACTGAGCGCCAGTTTGGCATAAGGCATCTGCCTAGAAACAGGGAGATTGCGAATTCTAGTTCCCACCTTTTTAGGTACAAAACCAGCTAAGTGGCAGAAGCCCCGTCATTTTCTCTCAGCCCTCTCAGAAAGAGGCGATGGTTAACAACTGAACAAAAATAAAACACCCTGTCAAGAAAACTGCAGGGATTTGTCCAGGCAATCTCAGAGAATGACTGTGTCCTGTATCTATAGGGAGGCCTCTTGTTTAACATCACTTATGACCTCATACTTGCAGTCTGTAATTGTCCACTCTTAAGCAAATTTGCAGGACTATAATCTTGATAGCAGCCTGTTTGGTGGAGGAGGCACCTTAGGCATGAAGCTAGGTCACTTCCTCTCAGTCGTAGGATGGAGAAAGTAGCAAACCGCTTCTGAAATTTTGCCAAGAAAACTGCAGGGACAACTGCATTGGCCAGGAGTTAAAAAAAAGTGAATAAAAAATATTGATAGTACAGGAAGTCCTCAACTTACAACTACAATTAAGCCCAAAATTTCTGTTGTTAAATGGGACATTTGTTAAATGAGTTTTGCCCCATTTTACGACCTTTCTTGCCACAATTGTTAAAAGTGAATTGTTGCAGTTGATAAGTTAGTAACCCGGGTGTTAAATGAACCCGGCTTTCTCATTGACTTTGCTTGTCCAAAGGTTACACAAGGTGATCACATGACCTTGGGACACAGCAATGGTCATAAGTATGAACCAGCTGCCAAGCATCTGAATTTTGATCAGCTGATCATGGGGATGAAAAATGGTCATGTCACGTTTTCAGTGTTGTTGTAACTTTGAATGGTCACTAAATTAACTGTTGTAAGTTTGAGGACTACAGTGGTAGCTCTACCACCCAGAATGGAAATTTTGGTTTGATATAGAGTTTTTGTCTAAAAAAATAAATGCCACAATTATACTGGGGGGGGGGGGACTTTTATCATTTTCTAACTAGTCTATAAACTAGTCTCCTATTGTAGTGTTGTCTATATATATTTGTTAATGCTTTTTAATGTAGCTTTAACTCTTAACTGTCTCTAGTTGGTTGATATAAAAGTACAAAATAGCAACTGCCCAACAATGGGACAAAATAATATAGACCAGTGATGGCTAACCTTTTCATCGTCGTGTGCCAAAATGTGCGCATGCATGCACGTATCCCTGAACCCATAATGCAGTGCGTGCACAACCCCTCCCCCTGTGCATGCGTGCACGACCCCCTGTGCCTCTGCGCATACACCATCATGTGCATCCCATCCCCCTGCACAGGCACCCCCGTGCCCCCCTGCCCCCCATGCATGTGTGGCAGATACCTGACAATCAGCTGGCTGGCAGGAGGTGCATGCATGCGCAGTAGATCTGTTCCGGGCGACGGCTTGCGTGTCAGCAGAAATGGCTCTGCGTGTCACTTCCGGCACTTCCAGCATAGATTAGTGGCATAGATTTGCCATCATGGATATAGACCATATAAACCAGCTTGTGGTTGATCTAGAAATTAGTGGTGGTATTCAAATAATTTAACAACCGGTTCTCTGCCCTAATGATTGGGTGGTCATGTGACTGGGTGAACGTAGCCAACTTGATTGGTCCCACCTTTAGGAAATTTTCCTTAGTTCAACTCACAATAAAATAGCACAATAAAATAGCACTGTTCCAATATTTAGAATAGAATAACAGAGTTGAAAAGGACCTTGGAGGTCTTTCAGTCCAACCCCCTACTTAGGCAGGAAACCCTACACCACTTCAGACAAATGGTTATCCAATCTCTTCTTAAAAACTTCCAGTGTTGGAGCATTTACAACTTCTGAAGGCAAGTTGTTCCACTGGTTAATTGTTCTATCTGGAAATTTGAGGGGCTTCTACAAAAATGAGGGAGTCAATCTATTTTTCAAAGCATCAAAAGGCACAACAAGAAACAATGGATGGAAACAAACCAAAGAGAGAAGTAACCTAGGACTAAGGAGAAATTTTCTAAGGGTGAGACCAATCAACCAATGGAACAGCTTGTCTTCAGAAGTTGTGGTTGCTCCATCACTAGAGGTTTTCAAAAAGAGTGAGGGAAGTACAACCCAAAAGGACAATGCCAAGAACCACTAAAACAATGCAGAAAACTTGAAACAGACATTCTTCTTTTTTAAAAAAAGTCAACACCAAAGCAAACACAGTAGCTGAGAGGGAAACTAAGAGTAGCTGCTCATGCTAATCAAAAGCCTGGACATGCTGCCAAAAGCCATTAACCCTTCCAACTCTATTATTCTATGTTCTCTATGTTATAAATTGGGTGCTTCACAGCAAAATACAGCTGGCTGGACCACACATGCATTAAATTCACGGCCTGTATGATCAAGCTGTATCATTGTCCCCTCCTGTATACAGATAACAGATAATCAGAGTTGGAAGGGACCTTATAGGTCATCTAGTCCAACGCCCCACCCAAGCGGGAGACCCTACACCATTTCTGACAAATGGCAGTCCATTTGTATCTTCCCCCCAGGAAGAAACAAGAAGTAGCCAACACTGCAGCAGCTATAAAAGGTCTTGAGGAACTCCAGGGAATATCAGCTGATCACAGAAAGGTTACTTAATACTCTTTATATTAAAATGTTTATAATCTTGTTCTCCTTCCTGAGGGGAAGAGGTTAATCCCATCCCTAGATGAATGATTGATGGGTTTCCCTGTCCTAATCCTGTCAGTTTCTATTGTTTATTGTCTTGATTCATTGTGTATCGGCTGCAGTCCAGTTGCAACTGTTCAGTGGTTCATGACTGTCTGCACGGAGCTATTAACTGAAGGGGGAGGGGGGAAGAGTAGAGAGCGGGAGAGAGAGGGGGTGAGGAGAGAGAGAGATTGACTAACGGTTTGGGTGAACCCTTCACTGATGAAGTTGCCAAAATGTGCTTACATATTTATTATGGTGGCATTCTTAAAGAATTTAATAAACTTAATAAACTCAATCTCAACCCTTTGTCATTTTCATGTGGCATATGACACATTGCTAACAAGAACCTTTTGTCAGTTATTATGGGGGAAGAGTGCCTATTGACAAATATAGAGAAAAAAAATCATAAATGGCAATTTCTCCTATGTTTTTTAATAGTTAGGTATCTTTTCTGGAGTTGAGAAACGGCAAAGGGAAACTGCAAGAAGAAATTGATGAATCAAAAATTTCAACTCTGTGTCTTCAAAAATGGGTTGTTTTGTCTTTCAATCCTACGGTTGAGTGTGTTCAGTTAATTAAGCCAAATAACATATATCCTCACTTTCACTGTCCTTTTTAATGCAGACAAGGGTCATAATTTTAAACACATAGACCTGACATTTTATAGGGGTTTCTAAGATTTAAAAGCAGTCAAATCTATTTTTGATCTTACACAACAGGTTTTATGTTCTTTATCTTAAGATAATGAAAAAAAATAGTAACGGATATCGGTAGACAAGATTATTCCAAAAAAGGGAGCTTGGAACTTTTGAATCTTGGCTTGCATTTTGTATAATCTAACCAGATATTTAATTATAAATCATAGTTAAGCAAACTTAGGATTCATTTGCATGAATCCAGATTTACCAATGTAAACATTTATGTTATAAATCAATAGTTGAAAATCTATTCTGTATTTACAATTGGTGAAAAATGTCATGCCTTAATAAACTAGATCTACAAAATCATTCCATAATAAAAATTTATTTTTATTCCACAAGATTTTGTTAGAATAATCCAAATAAGATTGGTCTGTAAACACTCTACTTTGGTATAGTGTGTGTGTGTGTGTGTGTATCATTTATAATCTTTAGTATACTATAGTATATATTTCATTTATAATCTTTTAAAAAGATGATTTGTGTTGACTTTTGAGTTATCAGAAAGTTATAATAAAATAATTTCAGACTTGTATACAGTACCTATAGACACAGGACTGATTATTCTTGCCCAGTTATTTTCATATCGGAAACTTGTAGCTTGATATTGAAAGCATCGCATGAAAATCAGCTTTGCTAATCATAATGAAATTTGTGTTCGCTTTCATGAGAACTTCAAGTAGAAAAGCTGACTGCAGAAATATAGCACATGGAGAATTTCATATATACGCCTTTTGAAATAAAGTACTTATATAGAAGAATTCAGTCTTTGTATCTTTATAGGAAAGGAGGTAATTCAATATCTTTGCCTCCGGTATCTAGCAATATCAAAAATGAAAGCATTAAAATCTTTCCAATCTGTGAGGTTAGTTCACAAACATCTGTTGCAAACTGCAAGCTTTATCTTAAAAAGGGTAACAACCTAGGTTTAGAAACCACAGAGAGACAGTTTCCTTTTGCATATGATTTGCAAGCATATGATTCATGTAATATTCATGTAGACAAAGGAGACAGCAATTGAAAAACTACTGTTTTTGGAACTTTGTTTTCTGAATTTAATTGTTATTTTCAGTTGATTTTTTTTCAGTAAGAAAAGTTAACAACAAATGATGGGAAATCCAGAAACCATAATAGAAGCCTACGTGGCTGTCATTCGTCCAAAGAATACTGCAAGCCTCAATTCTCGGGAATATCGTGCTAAATCCTATGAGGTAAAATAAGGGGACAGGGGTTGACTCCAATTAAAGAACTTTTATAATTATCAGTAACTATATTTAGTTATCAATATATCCATGTTTCATAATGCAAATAAAAATTCAGAAATATTTTCAGGTTGTAAAATGATTTCCTTTCCAGCAATATCATTTCCATTATAAACATTTTTGCTTGTATAAGCCATCTTTCTATAAATTGGAAATGATTATATAATTATATAAATTGCTAATTTCTCAACTGTAATTATTCAATCATAATGGTAGCTGATATTACAGATATGGGCTTTTGCAGATGACATTGAATCTAAAGTATGTAGTTGTTCCTTAATAAAGGTAATGAAATAGATATGAAACAAATGCTTTGAGATTAGCCTTATGATTTTGCTTTGTTACAGATTTTGTTTATTTATATTTTTTTGGGTGAATATTTATAACATCTCTGATGGCACAGTGATTAAAATACAGTATTACAGGCTAAGTCTGCCCACAGCCTGGAGCTCTATTCTGATCGGGCTCAAGGTTGACTCAGCCTTCCATCTTTCCATAGTTTGTAAAATAAAGACCTAGATTGTTGGGAACAATATGCTGATATTTGTAAACTTCTCAAAGAATTCTGTAAAGCACTGTGGAGCAGATATAATTGCTGTTGCTCTTTCTTTTTGCTTTATTGAATATATAGTTTTTTAAATAAATTTAAAACCATGTAAACTGTGAATGAATTTTTAAAATATTGAATTTAAAGCAACTCCATGCTTAATGATCAAAATTGACTGAAACTAATAATAGTAACATAAGTTCTGTTGAAATGCCTTTTGACAAATTAAAATAAGAAAAGAAAATGTTATATTTAAAAAAAGATTCATAGCAAAAAGTAATCTATAGTTGATTTAGAAAAAAAAGTCTTCCTTGTAAACACAACGCAATACTTTTGCAATATTTTCAGAAATTTCTTGACATAGTATTTAGTTACTTCTACATATTTTGGTTGATAATTTCTGCTTCTGACACTAGTTTTATTGCATTTAGTTTACATGCAGGAAAGTATGTCTTATTCTAGCATTGCTAGCTTTAAATTTTGTGAGTTATACTTTCCCTAGGAGAATTTTCAATTGGGAAAAATTAGACTCTGATTTCAAAAGTTAGATATAGGTGTTAGATTTTTAAATAAATATGGATGTTTGTGTTTCAATAATATTTAATTTTATCATTGTAAGATTTTGTTACTTGAGGTTCCCATTGAAGGACATAAGAAAAAGAGAAGGAAAATGTTATTAGAAACTAAGATTCAGGAAGGCAGTGATATAACCCAAAGCATCTTGGACTATATACTAGAAACCACCAAACCAATTTCACCAGGAAACCAAGGGATTAAAGGTAATGATGCTTGTGTTCTGTGTTTTCCTATATCCAGCCATAACAGAAGAACATTTCCAAATTCTAATCCCATTAATCAATAATCCTGCCCCATGCTTGGTAGCATTCAACTCAACTAAAATATTGTTCTAATTCTCTGAATATTTGCTAGTAAAGATGCATTTGACTTCTTTTTGCAGTATAGGGTTATTTTATCTATCTAAAAGAAAAATGGAAAGTTCTCCTACTTTTAAAGACCCTTTCTCTTGTCTCTTCCAATGTAATCTCAGATGCTTTGAGTAAGTCCTAAAATGTTGATATATGGTCAGAAAGGTACAGAAAAGAAGCTTATATAATATTTATATAGCTTAGGTCCAAGTTAAAACCAATAATTTCTAATGTGTCTGGAAATTATAAATAACCAATATACACTTTGCATATTTGTTCCTTTCCTAGAATCATGTAGATGATGTATTTTTAACATTAATTAAAGTTTTCAAATAGCATTAAAGGCAGCCCTTTGTAAGATGTATTATAGCTGTTTTACCTAAAAATTACCAACTATGTAATGTAAATCAAGTGGTGGGATGCTGACATATTTAGTAAAATTATTTAGAATCTTCAATGATCATGACAACCTTTGAATTTACAAATATTTTTATATCCACTGTTACTTTCAATTCTGCAGATTTTTCAAGAATAATTCTTGAACTCTAAATCCCCAGGCCATCAATCTAGTTTTTGGTATATTTTATATGTGGTAGAAAAATACTACTTCAGCTATTTAATTGACAACATTTTTCTTATTATGTGAAGGAAAAAGAGTTCTACTAATGAAGACGTTTCCTCTTGGTGAGGACATGGGCAAGGATGCATCTCTTTTCGTTGTACCAACCGTTGTCAAAGGTAAGATAAAAAGTGCATTTTAAAAAGGACAAGTGTTAATCAAAAGTTAAAAATACTCTATATGCTTCTGGTTTTTTTTAAAGAAGTCTCTCTATATTAGTTTTGATGTGGCTTATGTTGTTTTTTATTTGTTGGCTTTCATGTGACTAGTTGTTTAAGCTTATGTGAGACAGATGAATAATTAACTTATGCTGCTTATTTAGTGAACCTTGTTACTTTGTTTTGCCTAAAGATGCATTTTATTGTGTTTATGAAACACATTTATGCCTCAGTCTTTATTTTTTATTGGTTATCTGTCAGTGATTTCTTTAGGACCTTTTTGTGAAATCAGCAATGGAGAAGAAAGCTGTAAGTCAGTAGTTCTCATTATGTAGGAAGGTACTACAGATGATTCTTGTACAGGCATTTTTTCAATATATCTAAGGATTTTCTATTTTTTCTATGGTGTCTAGTGATACTATTGCTTTGTATGCTAGTCTTTAAAAGCTGTCAATGATGTAATTATCGGTGTAAAACATTGGTTCACAAACATTACTCCAAGTTGACTATGGAGATTCTCAATCACCCAAGCTATAAGTAGTTTTCCAAAATGCAACTGGACTTTCTAGATTTTTCTCCTTTGAAAGACTTTTGCTTTTCATCCAAGAAGCTTCTTGGATGTCAGAACTGAAGAAGCTTATTGGCCTTTGAAATGACATTAGTCCAAGTTCCATAGATAGAGTTAGTGTTTTAAAACAAAGATGCTTTCTTTAATTTCTTAAATTATAGTATTTTTACTTTACCAGTTTATCACTTCACCAGTTTATCTTCTGGGCTATAATTGTTTTGCCAGTAGTGAAGACTATTTTAAGTTTACTATCAATTATCATTCCTTTTCCTTTATCATTATTCTTAAACTAGGGACTTTGGCTGTTTCTTTACTACTATCTTAGAGTCATTTTTTCTTCTTTAGCTTATACAGTTTTGTTTAGACATTTACATTGACAGAAAAGAAGCAGGAGCAGCCAAGAATCCATTCTTGCTTAAAGTGATACCTGAAGGACTACAATAGCAAATTATGTGGCCTATGTAAGGAAAAAAAACACAGCAGCAAAAGTATTTCTGTACAGTCTAAGAAGGTTAAAATATACCTATGGGAATAAAAGTATAAAAGTGAAATGTAAAAAAAACCTAAAAATTGCTTTAAATTTTTAAAAATTCTTTCCTGTATAGATAATACAAAGTATATTTACAGTCCTGGATGTCCAATTTTCTACTGTTTACAAGACATCATGAGAGTCTGCAGTGAATCCAGTTCTCATTTTGCTACAATTACAGCTAGAATGTTACTTTTCTTAGATAAGTAAGAAATGTTTTTTTTTTAATTTTAAAATTGTGTTTGTAGGAGAATTACTCTCTCAGTAATTAATTTTTGTGACATACATAGTGCCTGGTGCATAGAAATGCATTTTGTATCAAATACAAATAGTCGTCGTCTTACAACAGTTTATTTAATGACTGTTCAAAGTTACAACAGCACTGAAAAATGTGACTTATGACTGTTTCTCATAGTTACGACCTTTGCAGCATTGCCATGATCATGTGCTTGGCAACCGGTTCATATTTATGACTGTTGCTTCGGTCATGTGATCACCTTTTGTGCTCTTCTGACAAGCAAAATCAATGGGAAAGCCAGGTTCACCTAACAACCAGGCTACTAACTTATCAACAGCAGTGATTCACTTAACAACTGTGGTTAGAAAAGTCATAAAATGAGTCAAAACTCACTTAACAAATGTCTCACTTAACAACATAAATTTTGGACTCAATTGTGGTTGTAAATCAAGGACTACTTGTATGAAATAAAAACTATGGGACTGAAATTCAGCTGAACTTTTCTGATCAAGTCATAAATTATCTGAGTGAAACTTAAAACATTTTGATAATTAAAAGTTTCAGCTTCCCCCGCCCTCCAGTAAAAACAGTCTGGAAAGGTCTCAGAGGGCAAATGTGGCGAGGCATCAGTGTTTCTCATGCCTTTCCTTCTTCATGGGTGGTATGCCAGCCTGCCGCCTTTGAAGTCAAATGCAACATATCCAACAGGCTCACCTGTGCCATTTGGAAAATTAAAAGGAAAGGGAGCTTGGACAGATAAGATAGGGATGTCAAACTCAAGGCTCAGGGGCCAGATTTGGCCTGGGGGGTGCTTACATCTGACCCATGGAGCTGCCCTGGAAAGAGCAAAAGATAAGCCTGCGGTGCTTCTGTCAGCAAAAATGGGCTCCCGAGCTCTGTTTTTGGCTGCCATGGCCTCCTGCAACTCTCTGCCAGTGAAGCTCGAGAGCCCATTTTTGCTGGCAGAGCGCTCGGGCCACTACCGGCACCCCTGATATCAGCCATGTTGAGTTGGCCATGTCCACTCTGGCCACGCCCACCCCGGCCCCACGAGGTTGAACACAACCCTGATGTGGCCCTCAATGAAATTGAGTTTGACACCCCTGAGATAGAAGATAGTATTGTTGAACAGAAGGGTAGTGGCCAAATGAGATTGTGTTTGGATTTAAAAGTGACATATCCAACCTGCCATTCATTCTTTACATTTTACTGCTACCGTTCTTTCTCCTACTTCTCCATAATTCCCATTATCATATCCTGCCATTAATGGCTTTGTGTTTTCCCATTCTCCTCACCCTAAAATACTTCTGTTTGGAGCATACATGTTTCAGATCCATCCCCTGATGAAATGTTTTAGTCTAAACATGAACCATCCACAAATTAGTTTTTCCATGCACGTCCCTAATGTATGTCTATGTACATTCCTGCCAGAATTCACACTTTAAAAAAGAGCTGAATTAGGAAGAAATGTTAACAGTACATATAAAGTGATGCTCACCATTTATAGATGGGGCAATGTGGGGCAATCACCTTGTTTCTTGTTTGATTATGTGGTACCATTGATAAGTCTAATCCATTCTTTTCTGCAGATGGTTAGAAGAACGGCATTTGCAATCACATTCAATCCCAGCTCTATTCAGACCATCTCCTTTAGAGCGAATTAAAACGAACGTTACAAACCCTGCCTATGCTTTTGAACCCGGACAGAGCGAGAGTTCCCTTCACATGGGATACACTGCGCTGGAGATCAAAAGCAAAATGCTTGCACTAGAGAAGGCGGACATGTGTATTTACAACCCTTTATTCGGATCTGATCTTCAGTATACCAACAGAGTAAGAAGAAGTAATTATTAAATATCACTTTGGGGCTTAATATTTTCATTTTGGGCTTTAAATCTTTTAAAATTCTACAATATTTCTAGGTGGACAAAGTAGTTATAAATCCGTATTTTGGACTTGGGGCTCCAGATTATTCGAAAATACAGATTCCAAAACGGGAAAAGTGGCAACGCAGCATGAGCAGTGTCATGGAAGACAAGTACTATTTTATTTTTATTCATTTTAATTGTTTGTTCTCATAATTGACTCTAGGTGACTTTGAGGGTAAGTACTCTCCATGCTGCCCTGTCAAGCCCAGCTTCTTTCAAACTTGGATATTGGTTCTTTGTATCATGTTTTATATTATCAAGCCAGCGTGTTCTTGGCTTACCCCTTCTTCTTGTTCCACTAACCATTCCTAGCATCATTGACTTCTCCAATAAATTTGCACCCATGACACGGACAAAATAGATCGGATGTAGTCTTATGATTTTAGCTTCTAATGACGTGTCTGGTTTTATACGATTCAACATTGTTGGTTGCTATGGCTGTCACCATGCAATAATTTTTGCCACACCACAGTGGCAAAAGTGCCAATTTTAATTATATTTTTGTACAAATAATTTTCATTTATTTATTTATTTTTAAATTATGCCTTTCATAATCTTTATTTTATGATTTTGTTATTGCTTCTGGTAGGGCCAAATCACTTAGAAGAGCGGAATTGGCAGCCAAACTGCCAAAACAAAGTTTGCTGATACAAAAACCTACATAGGATCAGTCGTAGTTAATATTTGAATAGGAGCCTCCCAAAAAAATCCTAGAGCAGTAAGCTAGACTTAACATGCTGAAACTGAACTGTTTCCAGTGCTGCCGAAAAACTATATAGATGAGTCTATGAAGGCACTGGGAATTGAATTCAGCGTGAAGCAAACCTTTCTTATAGATAATATATGACAGCTTTTTAGAAGGCTTTGTCGAAAGTGAATGGATTTTTAAAATGAAATGTGTTACTGGATTAGATCTGCAAAATGTAATATAAGCTTGGCATGTAATTTGTTCAAGTGTATTCACTTGCATACTGCATTAGAAAATAGATTCAGGCTGTTTTGTACCTATTCATAATATTTTATATTCTGATTTCTTTCTATTCAGACACAATTTTAATATTACTTTGTGATTCCTCTTAGGGAACGACAATGGGTTGATGATTTTCCTCTTCATCGTAGTGCTTGTGAAGGTGATACTGAATTACTGAGTCAACTTTTAGATGAAAACTTCTCTGTAAATCAGTTGGATAGTGATCATTGGGCACCTATCCATTATGCATGTTGGTGAGTTCAACGCAATTGCAGATCAACCTACAATTGTTCAGAACTAAAGTGATTTTAATATAGAAAAAAGTTCATTGCAAAGCTGTAGTGACTAAAGTCACAATGCCACGCTTGAGTCTTCCTCCTGCATTACTCTGTGAGGTGCCAAAAATAGAGCTGAGTCAACAGCCATCCAGTTCCACCTGCAACATAGCCAAAGATTCTTGGACAAAAAAAAAGATGACAGAAGCATGTCAAATGCTTTTGACAAAAATGCCCACAAAAAAGGCCAAAAAAGGATTGGTCTTTTAATGGTACAGCCATCAATATTCCACATTAACAAGAAAATTACATCATCATTCAAAGATAGTCAAATGGCTTGAATTTGATTTTGGCAAGCTAATGACCTGAGATCATTGCATTGAGCTGTTGAGCTGATGGGAAACATCCTGCAAGAGTTAGCTTGTCCCTTGCAAATTCCTGGGGATCTTGTTCTTAGAATATGAAATCAGCACAGTCCAATAAAGTTTGCATTGCTGGGATATTGTTCAGTAATAATGGGTGAAGGATTCTTGCTGTATGCTGCTCTGCACAATCAGCAAGAAGTCTGCCTCCTGCCCTGTTTGTTGCTTATAAATCCAATTGGGTGTAGCAATAGCGCTTAGATTTATATACCGTTTCATAGGGCTTTACAACCCTCTCTAAGATGTTTTCATAGCCAGCATATTTCCCCCAATATCTTGGTGTATTTGAAAATTCCTCTCCTCAGGATCCCCTACTGGCTCATAAGTTTCTGAGGAGATATGGATTCAGGGACGATGTCCATTCTTCCAAGGGGAGACACCTCGTGTCAGCAGTTGAGGAAACAAGTCTGTTAAGTGGCTGAGCTGCATCCATTTATTCCAATAGTTTTCCTCAGATTTCCTAGCTTGTGTAGTATCTTGTTTGTCTCTTAGTAAAGAGCCAAATGTGCTGTAAGTCCTGCTTTAGGTGAGTTTGGAGAGTCCTTATTTAATAGATTCAACTGACTCTCATGGCCTCACTTTCTCAAATGCAGGGGCAGTGCAGTGGCTACCTTGGAGTCATCTGGGACTAAATTAAGATGGTTGTTTGGTATCTATGGGGATTCTTAATTATCCAGGTCATGGTTGCCTCCAAAGGCAAGAAGCTTCTTCAGCTCTGGCTGGATGGTAGGGAAGAAGTTTCTTGGATGAGAAGTGAAACGTCTTCAAAGAAAAACCAGAAAGTCCAGTTGCCTCTTGAAAAAAGCACCTTTGGGACATGGTTGTTTGGTATAGCTGACTTAGAGTTGAATAGAGGTTTAATCCTTTTGTGAAAAAAGACTCTGCTCAACAAGATTTGAAATAAATCTAGATATGTTCTCATCTTAAATAACATTAGTAGGATGGTAGTTTGTTTGAAAGAATAATCTGTTACGATTTAAGATACTTGGGAGCCATTCAGAAGCACATGGATCTCTGTGGCCACGCTGGCAGTAAGCTGACTTAGAGAAGTTACTATCGCTCTCTTAAAATTCCAGCATTTGATATTACAGCTATTTAAAAATATGTGGAGAACAGTCTGTGGTATCTGCCATAAGCAGTTTGAATTACAAAAATTCTTGTGTAGCAGCTGGGAGAGCTTTAGTATGTGTGAAGCTCACCCCTTTTGCTTTGTCAAGCTAAAGTGTATTCAGGTATTGTGGCATTTTGTCAGATTGTTTTACTTTTTCTTTCCTTGCCCAGATAAAAGGGTTAAATGGACTGCCTTGATAGATATGAATGGTCCAGTTTCATGCTTTTTAACGTAAACTCATATAAAATCATCTTTCAGCATGTCCAGTTCATGTTTTATGAGTGAGAACTGTTCAAATTAACAGAGATCAAAGTTTAAGCTGTGTGCAGGCACTGCTCTGACATATACTCTAGTGAATTTTTACAGGGGAACTTCTTCCTCTTCTGATTTCAGCTTTTATCTTTAAGCTTGTTTTTAATTCTCAAGGCTGGTAGGTGGACTAATTAGCTGGAATGGTGACCCACAATGAGATAGAGATAGTGCTTCGTCTTTGTTTGACTGATTTCTGAAAGGTAGACAGTCTGGGCTCAGGACATATCACAGATACAGATAATCAGAGTTGGAAGGGACCTTGTAGGTCATCTAGTCCAATCCCCTTTCCAAGCGGGAGACCCTACACCATTTCTGACAAATGACAATCCAATCTCTTCTTGAAAGTCTCAACTGATGGTGTTCCCACAACTTCCGAGGGCAAGTTGTTCAATTGGTTGATTGTTCTCACTGTCAGAAAGTTTCTCCTTGTTTCCAGGTTAAATCTCTCCTTGTTCAGTTTCCATCCATTATTCCTTGTCTGGCCTACAGGAGCTTTAGAAAATAGCTTGACCCCCTTCCTCCCTGTGGCAGCCCCTCAAATATTGGAAGACCTCTATCATGTCTCCCCTGGTCCTTCTCTTTACTAGACTAGCCAAGCCCAGTTCCTGCAGCCGTTCGTTGTATGTTTTAGCCTCCAGTTCCTTAATCATCCCGGTTGCTCTTCTCTGTACTTTTTTCTAGATCCTCAACATCTTTTTTGTAATGAGGTGACCAAAACTGGATGCAGTACTCTAGGTGTGGTCTTACTAAGGCTTTGTAGAGTGGTATTAGTACTTCCCTTAATCTTGACTGTATCCCTCTGTTAATACAATTTAGGATTGCATTAACTTTTTTGGTGGCTGCTGCTGCACACTGCTGGCTCATATTTAGCTGGTTGTCCACTAAGACTCCAAGATCCCTCTCACAGTTACTGCTATTGAGCCTGGTTTCACCCAGTCTATATGTGTACTTTTGGTTTTTCTTGCCTAAGTGTAGGACTTTACTTTTTTCTATATTGAATTTCATTTTATTAGATATGGCCCAGTGTTCTGGTCTGTCAAGATCCATCTGGATCCATCACTTCTTCCATTTTCTCTTATCATTCAAGTCCACAAAAATTTGTTATGCTTTTATCTTCACATTTGTTTCACCCAAAGTAGTATAACTTGAATGTAAAATAAAATTCCATTAACAATTGCTAAAACTAATGATATAGCTAAAATAAAAGCAACTACAAGAAAATGTGTGTTACTGAGTTCATAGTTTTGCTTCCCCTCAGTGCAGTGAATATTGCTGTACTTGATTAGGATTTTGTAATGTGGGCAAAGTCTACCTTCCATATCCTATATTGGGAAGTTTGAATTCCATTAATAAGATTCCAAGAGAGAGATTAATGTGCTACGGTACAAATCCGAATGAAGTCATATATGTGTAGTCATACATCTACACATATATACTACCCCATGATAATAATAGCATTTCAAAAACTTCTGATGATATTTATTCATTGGTTGTGAAAAGATGTTGTGGCAACTCAAATATAATTTGTTTTGTGGAGTTTTCGCAAGATAGTTAGTACCTGGTTGTCAGTAAGTGAGTTTTTATAATTTGCTTTGCTGCTAAGAGCTGCTGCTATAATATCCCTTGAATCTTGGTTGAGAATGATGAACATTATTATTTTTTAATCATTTGCAGTCGGACTAGAAAGGTAAGGTCTTAATTTGCCTGGACCTCACATTAGAAGTCTCGACACTTCCCTATGAGTGGGGTTTATATAATTTTGATTATATTCACTACTGATCACTAGAAAGAATGAGATAATTGGTTTTATTCTTGTTGGAACATATGAGGCATAGGTGATTGTATGTATGTTGTATGTTCAAAACTGTACTGGAATTTTAAACTCAGAAGTTATGAACATTTTATTTGAAAAAAATGGGTGAAGTAGTGGTAGATAAAATATCTGGCCTCCTTAATATATTGGAAAAAATAACTTAATTCATTTATAATCATAAAGGCACACACAATTATTTTTCATTAGATTGCACCTGTATTCTGGGAAAGGCAGAATATTTAGTCAAGAAACCTGTTATGTACCAGGATTATTGGTGAGCAAGATTAATGCCTTGGAGGGTTTCTACAGTTATTTTATACAAGTTTATGTTTTTTTGTTTTTTTATAAAGGTGCCAATCTCACAAAGAAGTGACTCTAAGTTGCATAAAATAAAATGCTTTATTTTCTTTTCTTTTTTTTCCCTTTGGGCAGGTATGGAAAAGTAGAAGCAACGCGAATGCTGTTAGAGAAAGGAAAATGCAACCCAAATTTGTTGAATGGACAACTTAGCTCCCCTCTTCATTTTGCTTCTGGGGGTGGTCATGCCGATATTGTTCAGATTCTCCTAAACCATCCAGAAATTGACAGGGTAAGATTTTTTTTTTTTACCAGCTGCAGTTAAACTTGCTTAAAGGAACACATTTTGTCCTTTGAATGACAAAAGTAGATGTGCTTTTTGGTATCACCATGGTACATAAAAAAGTTAAGATTCTTAAGGAAGAACTGATTTCTCTTGCAGGGTTTCTGATTTGCTATTGCTACAGTAATGATTAACATCATTGCCAGCCTTTGACCAGTATATGCAATTGACCTGTTCCTAGGAAAGACTGGGAAAGTCTCAAAATTGTTCTTATTTATATTTAGAAATGGTTTGAACTTCGAACCTAAAGATCTAGATCTTATGTGTTGGAACTGGAAAGCATAGATGATTATGGAGATTTTTAGATGATATCTTAAGAAGGCTTTTGGAACAGGAAAACTATTGTACATGTTGCAATTCTTACCAAAACTATAATAAGATTATAGCATGTATTTTAAAAGGAAGCAATCTCAGTTACAAGTACCTGCAATTTTAGAAATGGCTGGAAAAGATACTTCTCTGAAATCCTGGAGAAATTAGAAACTTTTGTTATGTTGACCACCAAAAATGAAATGAAAAGAAAACATAAACACATCCAAAATGTCATGAAAATTCAGCTTTTGAGAATATTTTGTGAGATTTCAATGACTTTTAAAAAATTATTAAATAACAACGGTGTAAAATATTGTAAAAATTATTGGGTTAGAGAAACTCAGGTCTCACTAAAAGGCAAGTATCATTTAATTTTATATTTACAAAACTGTATTTTTAAGTTGTCTTATTTCTGTTTGTAGCACATCACTGATCAACAAGGAAGAACACCATTGAATATGTGTGAAGAAAACAAACAAAATGAATGGGAAAAAACAGCTATGTTACTTAAAGAGGCCATTAATAAACAAGTAGGGATAATGTTTCTAATATTATAATACCTACATTTTATAGATTAAAAATGTTTAATATCAAGTTTAATGACCTATAATTTAACTGTAACTGATTTTGGACCATCATAGCAAGGCCAAGAACTAAAACCTCCATTAAAATTAATAACATAATTTAATAAATAATGGTTTTCTAAAACAGAGCAGGGTTTTCTTTTGCATTTTAATTTTATTCCATTGCTTTCTATCAGTATGATTTGCTTTCATTAGATTAAAACAAACTTTTCTGAAATTCTTGGAATTTCATGGTGGATTTTAATGTACCTCCTGACCTTGTACACAGAGAAAGATCATTCTTGACTTTGTTTTGTATTTCAGAATGCTCATTAATTATAAAAAAGGAAGTTCCAATAACTTTGTATTTTGTTTTGCTATCAGTACTGTGCAAATTTTGCTGATTTTCACCTTCAATTTTCCATAGTATGAAAAAGTACGAATTTATCGAATGGATGGCTCATATCGTTCTGTGGAATTGAAATATGGAAACAATACTACTGTGCAGCAGATAATGGAAGGCATGCGTCTTTCTCAAGAGACACAGCAATATTTCACTATTTGGATCTGTTCTGAAAACCTTAGTAAGTAATTAAAAATGCTTTTGTTGATTCTGAAACATGTTGATTTTAGAGTATGAAAGCACTTTTTTCTTTTACTTCCAATAATGTCAACAGCCGTAGAAATTATATACGCCTTGATTGTGACCACAATTGGGTCCAATATTTCTCTTGCTAAGTGTGACAGTTGTTAAGTGAGTTTGCTCATTTTACAGCCTTTCTTGTCACAGTTGTTAAGTGAATCATTGCAGTTGTTGAGTTAGTAACATGGTTATTAAGTGAATCCAGCTTCCCCATTGATTTTGCTTGTCAGAAAGTAGCAAAAGTTGATCCCATGATCCCAGAACACTTCAGCCATCATAAATATGAGTCAGTTGCCAAGCTTCTGAATGTTGATCACAGTAGGGATACTGCAACAGTCGTAAGTGTGAAAAACAATCACGTCACTTTTTTCAGTATAATTTTGAATGGTCACCAAATGAACTGTTGTAAGTCAAGGACTATCTGTATTTAAGGTATTTTAAAGGCAACTAGTAAAAGACCTTTAATCTGATAAAGGCATTTAAACTTCAGTTTGAATGTCTATAGAAGCTGGAAAGATCCTAACGACATTAATGACAAGAATGACATTTTCGGTTGACATGATTTTGAAGCAAGAAAGTGCAGGTTAAGATTCTCCCCAATAAAGACAGGAGGAGAATCTTAGTTTTAGCTGAGCAGGATTTTTTTTTATGCAAACCAAAAGCTATAGGTTAAAATAAATAGAGCAAAAATAATCTAGGCTTTGAAATTAGTTTGTCAATAAATGAATAGAATTTAGTTTAAAACTCAGTGTATGATTTGCATGAAGCAATACATTTTGAATCTGCTAAATGAAATGAAATTCTAGCTTATTCCACTGCTGATCATGAAAAAGGGACGAGGATGGCTTAAGATGAGGGCTTGACATTTCATACTATTTTTCCTGTATATCAAAAATTGTATTTCATTGTGAAAATATTATCAGGATTTGTGGAAAAAAATCACCCTTGTTTCCTCAACTCAAAATGGAACATTAGTATGATTTGCTGGTATAAAAGGAACAGAAGAATGAATTACAAATTCTATATTGATTCAAAAAGGTGGTTTCATTTCCAAGTATTTAGAATGTAAATTTAACTCAAATAATTTTTGAATTCATTTCTTTTAATCAGCATAGCCTTTAAAGCTAAAAAGCTTAAGAGACATATGACTTTGGTGCTTACTTCTAAATAAAACTGTTGTTGTATAGGTCTCCAGCTGAAGCCGTACCATAAGCCTCTCCAACATGTTCATGACTGGCCTGAAATTCTCACTGAATTAACAAACCTGGATCCTCAGAGGGAAACACCTCAGCTATTCTTGAAAAGAGATGTGAGACTACCATTAGAGATTGAAAAAAAGGTTGGCATTATAAGTTACTCTATGTCACATGCAGGTTCAAAATCAGAATATGCAACTGGAGGCCAATAAATAAAGAGCTGTCTGAATTTTTCAGAAATTATTTTATGCACACACTTGACAAGACAAATTATCTTGCTTAAAAAAAGAGGATGGGATACTTCCAAAGCATTAAACTTATGAGCCATGAAAATCCACAACAGTCAATAACTACTAAATTTCTCTATTTGCTAAATATTTGTCATCAGCCAGCTGATTTTTAATCAGTTTAGATATTTGCTTTTTTAATAGCTTCGAAGTTATTTGTAATTTTGAACAAAAGTGGCTTATTGTCAATCCTTTGAAACAGGCCAGATTGGGAAATGGTTCAGGAGTATCAAATTGCCTTATGGGCTGGATGCATCACATTCCCACCTCAGCTTTGCAAAGGGGAAAAAACGTGATATGTCACGTGACGGCAATGTGACACTGCGAGTTTGACACCCATGATCTAGTTTATTGTTGCAATGTACAGTAACAATCTTGAAAGCCTGGCAGAATTAATCAAAAGGAATCAATGGATTTTTTCTCAGCTCTTCCTCTCTTTCAGGGTTATGTTACATAAACACTCTTGCAGCCCTTTTTCAAGGTACCAATCAAGATATATCTACACATATTCCATCTGTAACATAGAAGAATATCAGATTTTATTGATTTTAATTATTATGAAGTTATAATAATTATAACCAGTTATTTATGGTTATTAAAAGGAAATTTACGGTTATTTCACTCTGGAAAATGAATACAATTTTAAAAATGCAGTAATGTGCAGTAGTAATGTGCAATCTTCTGAAATAAGTCAATAGGATTTACTCCCTGAAAAATATATATAGGATTGCAATCAAAAGCTGGCTGTTTTTTTCCAGAAGTATTTATATGATTCCTGTATTACAGAACATTTGAAAAAAAGTGAATGAATTAGCTTTTAGGATAAGACCAAACCAGTTGTTTCCCTCTATTGATAATTGACCCAAAGTGCAAAGCATTTGATTATTATTCATATTCCACCTTGACCATTTGTTTGCTTTAAGTAGCTGTTAATTGCTCTGAATCTTAGAGATGGAAGTTGGAATTTAAAAAAAATGAATATATTGGCTTGTTACTGATTACAATAACATAAACTTGATTTCCCAAATTCAACATCTAAACTTTGGCTTCATCTGACAGTGATTTAGTTATATGTATCTATCCATATAATATATCTTTATTTTATTTGTTTTCAGATTGAAGATCCATTGGCGATCCTTATCCTTTTTGATGAGGCCAGGTACAATTTACTGAAAGGGTTCTATGCCTCGTCTGATGCGAAGCTGATCACACTTGCAAGCCTCTTGCTGCAAATTGTATATGGAAATTATGAAAGTAAAAAGCACAAGCAGGGTTTCCTAAAGTACGTGTATTTAAATTATTGATATTTCACTATTTATTCAATAAAATGTTCATAAAAATGTACTATTGAATATTTCATGTCTGAGACTTTTAGTGCATATTATTTCTCTTTGCACTTATGATTTCTTTTTTAAGGCAAATGTTTTATTTTTTCAAGTGTTCTATACTAATTTAATATGTCTGATTTTAATTTTTAGTGAAGAAAACTTGAAGTCTATAGTACCAATCACCAAATTAAAGAGTAAGGCACCTCACTGGACAAATCGAATACTTCATGAATATAAAGTAAGAAGCTTATTATAATATTAAAATTACCATATTATAATTTCAGAAATTCAGGACCTTCCCACAAATCTTGTGGGAATTTGAAACAGAACATGCCTGAAACAAAAGTACTGAATGTAAGATTTTTTTAAAAATGGAATGGGTTACTACAATTAGAGTATTAATTTGTGATCACAGTGAACATCTTAAAAAGATTCAGTGGTACTCAAAAGATTAACCAAAATTATAAGGAAGATAAACTGTAGGAAAAATTAGAAGATTTGGTCCTTTTAATTAATGAACAAAGAACATGTTTGTTGTTTATCAATTTGTATAGGAAGTATGTAGTTTTCTACCTCTCATTCTTGAAGTTGTAGAACTAGAACATCTGAGGAAGCCAAAATGGTTTCAAGATTTAAAAAAAGATTCAAGATTAAAAAAAAATACTAGTCCTAAAATCTATATCACACAGGGATTTACCTATCATATAATGTGGCGATGATCACTGGTTTAGATTTCTTGAAGGCCAATTATTGGAAGATAAGCCTGGCTAAATGTTACTTGCAGATGAGAGGCACAACCTGGAAAATTATGACCAGATATTTGTTTTTCCAAGGTTCCAGACTTGCATTGGAACTTATGCTTGAGATTGGGAAGTTCCCCGAGGATGGGCTTCAGCACAAGTCTGAAAATTGGAAGAACTATAAAAAAGATGTTGAGATTCTAGAGAAAGTGCAGAGAAAAGCAACCAAGATGATTAGGGGACTGGAGGCTAAAACATACGATGAACGGTTGCAGGAACTGGGCATGGCTAGGCTAGTGAAGGACCAGGGGAGACATGATAGCAGTGTTCCAGTATTTGAGGGGCTGCCACAGAGAGGAAGGGGTCACGCTATTTTCTAAAGCAGGGGCTGTTAACCTTTTGGACTTCAGGGACCAACAGACTCGTAATTTTAAATCCCAGGGATCATTAACTGGTTCTGTGGGCATGGCCTAATTTATGGCTTAGTGTGGCTTAGTGATCATGTGACTGGCTGGGCATGGCTTGTATGTTAATATTATAAATATTTATATAAATATTGAATTTTTCATTAAAAAGAGCAACTTTTACCCCAAATCAGGCAAAGCAGGCAGGCAGATTGAGTTGCTCATAGAATCACAGATTCATTCATCTATCTGCCATCGACTAGCTCAATCTGTGATGTAAAATTTGCTTGCAGAAAACGCATAAAAACTCATAAAAGCAAACTCACAAAATTAACTCATAACACACCATGTATGTAAATATTGATTTTTTTTTATTAAAAAGGAGCAACTTTTACCCAAAATCAGGCAAAGCAGGCAGGCAGATTGAGTTGTTCACAGAATCGTTCAGTGATCTATCTATCTACCATCAGCTACCTGAGTCTGTCACATAAAATTCGCTTGCCATGAGTCTGCACTGAATAATAGAACCTTCAGTCCTAAGGGAGGTTCGGCTGTGCTTAAAGCCAAAGATCTAAAGACAAGCTAGAATAATGGATGGAAACTGAACAAGCAGAGATTCAAACTAGAAATAAGGAGAAATTTTCTGACAGTGAGAACAATCAACCAATGGAACAGAAGTTAGTGGGAACTTGAGGAGTTGTGGGAGCTTCATCAATGGAAACTTTTAAGAAGAGATTAGAGTTCCATTTGTCAGAAATGGTAGAGGGTCTCCTGCTTGGGCGGGGGTGGGATTGAACTAGATGAGCTACAAGGTCCCTTCCAGCTCTGTTAATCCGTATCTGTATCTGAACAAGCCTCTGGTCCCAATTTAAACAACTGACTTAAATTGGATCTTGATTTTATGATTTTATGTATTTGCTGCCAATGTACTGAAAAAATTCAAAATCTTTTAGGTTAACTTTTAGATCAATCCACAAGTGTTTACCTTCTCATTTGAAACTCAAATGCACATTCATTTTTACGTGGGTTTTGCATTTCTTTAAAGCTTTTAAATTTCAAATAAAAGCTAAAACTATATCCTTCATGGGCATGTCAACTTATATTTCCAGAGTCTCAGTACTAGCGAGGGTGTGAGTAAAGAGATGCATCATCTGCAGCGCATGTTTTTGCAAAATTGCTGGGAAATCCCTACATACGGAGCTGCTTTTTTCACAGGACAAGTATTCACAAAGGCAAGCTCCAGCAATCATAAAGTCATCAGAGTTTACGTAGGCATAAATGTCAAAGGGCTCCACCTTCTAAACATGGAAACAAAGGTATGTATGATGCTTTTATTGTAATTTTTATTAAACATTATTGTTGAATACAACGGATTTTACAAAAGGGATATATACAAACATTTTAAGGCATTCCTTTGAGACCTGAGTTTTGCAATCCCAGCAAGTTTAAGATGTGTAGATGTCTACTCCCAGCAGGCTGATTGGGGAGCTCTGGCAGTTGAAGTTCACACATCTTAAACTTGCTTAATTTGAGAAACACTGCTCTAAGGTAATCCCAAATTGCTTGCCAGTTTCCTAAATGTAGTATGAACGTTAGTGATATTTCTAGAGTCACTATTAAGCTAGCTAGCTGTCTTGCTCTATGTATTTATTTAAAAGGGTGAATAAGCCATTCCAGTCACAACCAGCTCTCAGAGGTATACAAGTTGTTGGAGTAAACCAAACAAAATATAATAAAAGTACAATAAGCATGCAATCAATATATGGATAATTGCAATCTATATCCCAAATTAAAATTATTTCCATTAATAGAGTGACAACATCCTAGGGCTTATTTGAACAGCTAAGCCTTTACAGATTTTCTGAATGCTGAATAGTTCAGTGGAGTGCTATTACAAAGGAAAACAACAGAGCTAGGGAATCAATGTTCCTGAAAACAAAACTCGTGAGTGAGAGAACGCAGAGAGAGACTGTACTTATTTGACCTTATTTTTTGGATAGATGTTATCTGGAAAAACTACTTCTTCACATATTCATGATCTGAATCCACACAAGGTTTTACAATTGAGAGCCTTTGCTTGAATTGCAGCCAGAAACCAACTGGCAACGAGTGTAGCTCCTAAAGTAATGGTTGATATGTTCATAAGGAGTACCTGTGACTACTTGTATAGCTGCAGTCTGGATCAGTTCTAGCTTCTTAAAATCTCATACAATCTGCATGTAATAATCCTGATTAGTAAAGAAGTCATGAATAATAATGAGCAAACTTCTCATTCTAGAACAAGGCTGTCAAACTCACGCGCGGTCCACGGGCTGGATGCGTCATGCGCTGGCCATGCCCATGCCTGGTTTAGTGAAAGGGAAAGTCATGATACATCATATGATGACACCATGACAATGCAAGTTTGACATCCTGTTCTAGAAGGAATTGTAATAGATGCAAAGGCCTCTAGCCACAGATGCCCACAGCTCCTTATATAGGAATTGTGAGTCTAGAAAACTCAAGTTTTATATCACTACTTCATATTGTTTTTTTAGCTAATTTTTAAAATTGTGTTGAAAATGCTATTCATGGGGGGGGAAAGGAATTTCTAGTCATAATATTTCAGCAGAAATAGAATGAGCTCCTCATATTTAGTGACTTTTCTTGTTTGATAGTTGTAATGATAGTCTTGAATTAGTTCTTTGTAATTTATTCACCGATAAAAATATGTTTTCCTTTGAAAGTTCAGAAATTATTGCCCATTTCCATTTTTGTTTGTTGTTCAAGCATCCATTTCCTGTAATGAAACAGTAACAATGCTACAGAAAACATCTGTAGTAACTTTTAACAAGTGAATGTTAATGTAGCCAGTATGAGTTCTCAGTACAATCACATACTTTATCTGACAATTATCCAAAAGGCTTAAGATATTGGGATCAAGTTAATATTCTGTGCACATTCTTGATATTGTTAGTTTAATTCATGTAGAACCTGGGTTGTTCAGCTCGATTCATAGGAAAAGAAATTTGGATATTAAAAACCCCATGATCACATTTATCTTTAGTAGGGGTCTCCAAAGTGATCAGTATTGACCCACAATAATTGATGTTTTTATCCAAGGATCAGTAAATGGCTGGAAGTCAAAAATGTGTTAGTAAGTAATTGGGAGTCAATAGATGATCAATAAATGCTGGGAGATCAGTTAGGATTATTTAATCTTTGAAATTCTCTGTTGAGCTCCACCCCAGTCCTTAATCCTGAATGTGAGGTCACAAATGATGAAGCAGTGCTATTCGGATTGAATGAGCAGCCAGCAGTGACAGCAACCTTGAGTATTTTCATATAATAAATGTAAGGGAGTCGATGAAGAATCTGAAAATTCATGAATTGATCAAATGAAGATTTTGAGGAATCCTGATTTATAAATAAGCATTCCATTCTAATTAAGCCAAGCAACACGGTTTCAGGCATTGCCAAAGCACAGGTTTCTGGTGGAGTATTTAGAGGGAAAAAGCATTAGTCTCCCTTGCCATCATAGTGTGAGCAATACTATTTTTCTCCTGCTAAACAACAACAACATGTTGTCATTATTTATGTGTTTTAGTGACCCCACTCCAAAAGATTTTGAGCAATTAGCACATCTCAATTCAGGACTTATTCTGGTTTGTAATTTTTTTCCTTTTATATTTTTTATATTCCAGGCTTTGCTCATAAGTTTAAAATACGGTTGCTTTATGTGGCAGTTGGGAGATGGTGATACCTGTTTTCAAATACATAGTCTGGAAAACAAAATGAGCTTTATAGTTCACACCAAGCAGGTATTTAAATTACAGAGTGTCTTCCCCTTAATATTCCTTAATGGTAAATCTTCCCAAATTAGGAACATATTTTGACTGGATTATTAAGTTAATGTAAAGTTATTGAATGAAGACTTCACAATATAATCATTTGATCAGACATGTTCTGGCAGCAGGATAGAAATATTCTCAACTATAAAAATAATAATAATAAAACCTGCGAGAAACTGAATTCAGAATAGTTCATGCAACTAGTCTACATATATCAGTTCATTTTGTAAGGCTTATAGAGAATATATGAAGCTGTTTGAAAACACTGGAGTGGTTAAAACTGGATAAAATCTTAATAGCATTTTATATAATTGTATACTTACCAAATGCCAAACTATACTCTAAAATTTTTCAATCTGCATAATTTATTATTAATCAAAATGCAAACAAACCCTACCCTTACTTTTAACAGAGAGGAAACATGACATCCAGCATTTAAACAACTTACATTATTATGCTTTTCCTTTCAAACTGTTTGGCCTACATACAATTATGCTCCTGATAATAATACTCTAGTTTACCTACTGGAAATTAAGGAATTTGGAAATAAAACTCGAGCTTAAAACAGTGGACGATACAATGTGCTTATCTTGTTATCCCCAAAATCTGAATATCTTTATGCTAGTCTTCAAAGAAGCCTGGATTGTGAGAGACCTTGGCAATATTCTCTAAGGGAGTATCTGTACAATCCTTAATTATCAAATTTATCCTTGAGACAGTTAAGGAATTCTGCTCCTTCCCTTTAACCTCTGGGAAACCACTTGAAATATATATTTTTAATCACCCGGCAGGGAGTCTGCAAGATGGTTTTATCATATTACGTGATTGTTATACTCCCACAATTTTGGCTTTTTTATAATTTATAATTTAATTTTTGTTCAAGTTTCAGAGCGGCTACATTATTTTAACTATTGCTGCATTTGTATGCTGCCCAAAATCACATATAAGATGGATGCCTGTATGAATTTGCTAAATAAATAGATTAAAAATGTTACAATTACATGACTATTATTACTCTTTTAATGTCTTCTTCTGTTTGCAGGCAGGTCTTGTCATAAAACTTCTGATGAAGCTAAGCAGTCAGCTGATACCTGAAAGAAGCGATTAAATTAGATGGGGAGCAGTTGAACGGGATAAAAGACATTGCCTGATAGAGATTATACAAAACCCTCCGTTCATTTGTACATATATATTATACAGTACTATTCTAATATAATCATTTAAAGTATTTGGTTGGTAAAGCCATAAGAATAATATTTGCCTATGTAATTAACAGAAATTCAGGAAATATACTATAATTCTAGACATATTGAGGCATACTGACAAAGGAATTCTGGGAGTTGAAGTGCAGATATCTTAAAAGATGTCAAGTTTGAGAAACACTGCACTAAGAAATTAAAGAATAAACAACACGTCTGAATAGACATGTTTAAATGGGTTTAATTCTCTTCTGTGTTATGAATATGTTCTATTTCTAGATTGCCCAAGAAAGTGTAGATTTAACTCTAGGACAGTGATGGAGCAGCTATGACACATATATCAAAGGTAACATGCCACAATGTTCTGGATGACACTCCAGTGTTCACCAACATCAACAACTATTCTCAAAATCATGTCTATTCTCACATGATTTTTGGAGTCTGCAGACTGAGAGAGTGTGATGTGCTCTTGTGCATCCTCCAGAGCCAGTGAGATGGCAGTGCTTTTGTGTGGCCTTTAGAGCAGCAATGGGCAATTAGTTTTCCTAAGAGGCTACATGAGAAACAGGGACTGTTGTGAAGGGCTGCTGCCATGCTACCCCAATCACCCCACCGCCATGGACCAAGCAGGGATAATCAAAGGGCAGGATGTACTTTGCAACTGTAAAATGCCCATTTCTGCTTTAGAGTCTCCAAAAATCATGTGAAAGTGTGGTTTTACAGAATTCTTTCACGTGGTTTTTAGAGGCCATGGAAGAGCATTCTCCAAAGAGAGAGTGGAGAATGAATGAAGGCCTCATGCAACCTAGAACAGCCTTGGATAGGCTTGGTAACAGGCCTGTCAAGAAAAAGAATACTCCTTGAAGGTAAGGGCACATGGCAGATCTTGGGAAGATCTGGGCTGTGGGGACAATCGCACTGTTCCCCAAGACTCATGCTCCTTGGAGAACAGGATTAGGGAGGCTTTGAGTGGCACCTGTGGCACTAGGGCTGAAACCAAGGCCTGGGTCTCTATTTCAGGCCCAGCCTTGGTGCTGTTCTAGTGCTGCTGTTCAGGGCCACTAGGTACAGTGGGAGTGAGGAAGACAATTGTTTCTCTTTTTGGGGGGTGGGAGGTGTTTGTGTGACATAGCAGTAGAGCCAAGTTAGGCATTTTCTGAGTTTTTGATACACTCTGAGCCCAAAAGGTTTGCCATCACTGTTCTAGAGAGACATTGAGGTACTGGCAATTCAATATGAAACCTATGAAACATTTGCATGGGATTTTTTCTAAATTTCTTGTTATTTGTGGTGTTGTGGTTAACATGTTGGATTATGAGTGGAAGACACATATTTTATCTTGTCCAAAGCATACAATTTGACTGCATAATTTTTGTCTTAGCCTAGTCTACCTCAGAGTTGGAAAAAATAAGAGGGGGTGCCCTCGGTATGCCTTCCTGAACTCCAAAATAAATGGTGCAACATGCAACTCACATAAATAAATACACATATGCATAAGTTATATGTAATTTGTGGGATCTGATAATCTCTAGGGCAGCATTAGTTCAGTGTAACTGGCTACACATTGGTATCTCAAAGATGCCTCGTTCCATATTTTGAATAATATATCTCAGTAGGAGTTACCTTACATACAATTTGAAATATATGGTCCTTGTATGCCCTTGCTGCATCAGATAATAACTCTGTTTTAAAATTATGTTTATGAAATACAGCATTTAAAAATATTTGTATATAAGCTCAAGAAAATGTTTTTAAAATAAAAGTGGTTGATTAAAATATGATTTGGTCAACACTTAAGTATTTGGTGATTAGAAAATTTCTTTATAAAATTAATGTTATCTAGTGCAATGAAACTTGAATTTAATGGACTATAAATGTGGGTGAACTTTCCATTTTTTGTCATTTTAGGTAATTTGTGGATGTCATTTATGGATGACTCCAGCAACTGGGAGTGACAAACATTCCTTCCCTTTAGTTGAAGGAAGTTCTAAAGTATAGTAAGCTCTAATTACAGTATGTCATTTTCACTCATATGAATGGTCTTACTAGCAACTCCTATTAAATATAGTATAGAAGAAATATGTTTGGTTCTTATCCAAACAAAAGATAGAACCCAGAGTCATGTGGTGTAATTTTCTGTGCAAAAAGTCAAAATTCAGTCCCTAGAATCTCACACTAAATTGGGTCAAGGATTTCTGCCTGAGTCCTGAAGAGCCACTGCTAGACATTGTGCTCCTCGCAGGTGTTATTTATATCTTTTATTATTCTCACTCAGGAGTCAAAAATCAAGATAGTTGAGCAATGCTGACGAATGAGGGAATTCTAGTGCCAGAATGCTGAAATTCTAAATTAAAATACAAATCATCTTTTGGGGTAAAATCATGTGAAAATAAATAGCTGAACTCTTAAGTAAATCATTCCTGGTGGCAGCCATTGCTTTAGTGCGGTGTTTCTCTGACATGCATACAGAACAACTTACTAAATGACCCATAAGATATTTGTTTTTATATCCCACTGCAGATTGAACTTTACAAACATTGTATCAGTCACGGTGAATTTGACTTAAATTCCCCATATTTAATACTTCAGTAATTAGGATGTACGTGTCACTGTTTTCATCCTAATTTCTAAAATTTAAACAGAAGGTTGAAGTTGGGTAAAACTAGTACACAACACGAGGTAAGTGGGGTCTTCTTAATTCACCAGCCACCTGAACCATGGAACAGCCCCATTTGGGCTCCAAGTCAACCAGCACAGCCATGTTTTGAGGCCCTTGTGGAAGACTAAAAGGGCAGGGGTAGCTCTCACCTCAATCACCACAATGTTCTTAGGGGCAGGAGCCATTGCAGAAAAGGCTCTCTCCTGGATCAAAATTCTTGGACCATAAGATGTGCAGCAATGCGCCTTCTGTTGGAGCAAGAGGGGTGGGCCATTCCTATTGAAGTGAGAAAGTTTATTGTTGTTTCAGTTAGAGTAGAAATAATGCAGAAAGTTCCTGCTTTTTACATAAGGGTAGTATAACAGAAATAGTGCAGAAATGCTTCTATTTCATTTTATGATCTTTTTGCCACAGTTCTTAAGCAAATCATTTCAGTTGTAGAATGAATCAGGCGATCATTAAATAAATCTGCTTTCCCCTATTGACTTTGTCAAATTTCAGCTGGGAAGGTTACAGATGGTGATCACATGACATCAGGATGCTGCAGCTATCATAAATACGTGCTAATTGCCAAGTGCCCAAATTTTGATCACATGGCCATGGGGATGACGCTAAGGTCATAAGTGTGACGAACAGTCCTAATAGTCACTTTTTCAGTACCAAAGTAACTTAAAACAATCTCTAAATAATGGTTGTTAGTAGAGGATTACCTGTAATACAATTTTTAAAAAGATATGAAAGTAGCATTACAATAGAATATTCTTCTAAAAATACCAATATAATAAAACACTATATTGTCACAGAAGATATTTCCCAGGCCTCTTGTTTATTTGTTAAACTGCTAAACAAATAAGGATCTAATCATATGAGGCACTTTCATAAATATTGCACTGATATGTTTTCTAAAGAAAAGTTTATATTATTCACTCACAAGTTCACAAGTTAATATCAAAGCTAAAGAAACATTGTCAGTTACTTAAGAAAAACAGTTTGTGATAAACAGAATCTCTGACTTGGTAAGAAAAATAAGCCAATCACAAATTGCTTTAAATTGGAACTTCCATTAGAAAATCTCTGGCAGTTGGAAATTCTCTAAGGTAAGGTTTAAAAGAAAAACATGTGCTACTTGGTAGATATTCTCTAGCTTTTAGTATTAATGACACAAGGTACATAAATGGCAAATATTCTAGACACCACACTATATGTATGATGGCTTTTAAGAGTTTCAGATTCAATTGCACAAAAATGTTTTGCAGTACTGTATATAAATGGTAGCTGTGGTAACTCTTTACAGTAAAGAAAGAAATTGGTTTTTTTAAAGTTGTAAAAAGGCACGACACTTGTATTCAAAGCACTTAATATTTAGGCATAAGCCTCATAAGATTTGTTCTTATTTCTAAGAAGACATGTTTAGCTTTTGCATTGTACAGCTGCAGCCATGAATGAAATAAGGGGTAACCTTATCTGAACAAGATCATAGTTTTATTGTAAGTTTTATTGTTATTAGAATAAGCTGGGGATGTTGTTAGAATTCTGCTATGTCTTATTTTTCTACAAATTAATTTTATAAAATACATTATTTAAAATGTAAGTGTGATGGTTCTAAGCCAGGGGTGTCAAACTCATGGTGTCACATTGTCATCACATGACGTATTGTGGCTTCCCCCCATCACTAAACCAGGGGTGGGCATGGCCAGTGAGTGATGCATCCGGCCCGCAGCCAGCACGTTTGACACTCCTATTCTAAGCAGTTACAAACAGCTAAAATCCAATATAACAGTTACAACCACTAAATGATATTTTTGCTTGATTACTATTTCACTAATATTTTCTCAATCCTGTTTCTTACCTATCATATATCTTGCCATTATATTATGTTTTTCTCATTTCTTTTTTATTTTTAATTAAGGCTGGAATAAGCATCAACAACTGACACTGCTTTTTTTCAAAGTATGTCTGATAAAGAAGAACCCGTAAATGAAGATGGGTTCAATGAAGCCCCTCTAAAAGAGGTTGAAAATGGCAGTATGCAATTTATTAAAGAACATGATACAACTGGGAGTTCTTCAAATCAAATGCTGGAAGAAAATCAGCATGAAGCCACGGATGCTAATGAAAGTGAAACTATCTCACAAGCATTGGAAATGTCAGAAATGTCAAACAGTTTGCCTGAGGAAAAGGCAAGTGAATTCCAGAAGACTGAAACTGAAAAAGAAACAATAAGCTCTATAGGTCCTGTACAAGATGAAGAAAATGAAAAATGCAGTTTAGATTCTTCAGAGAAAGTAGACACGCTGAAAAAAGTTCCAGTAAATTGGACAGTCGATACAAAACATGTTGAACTTCTGGCATATCTATATGCTGAAGGATTGGCTGAAATCCCACAAAATTTTCTTGAAGTTCAAGCTAAAAAAAGTTTATTACAATCCGTAGAAAATGCTACGGTGGGTCAAACGCTAATCAAAGAATCACTATCTGATATGACGCTTGATGACTTTACAGTTCAGTTACATGCAAGAGGGCTCATTGAAGTTCCTTCAGCGATTTTTGAGACAAAGAAGTTGAAGTTTTTGAATTTAAACAATAATGAAATAAAGACTCTACCAAAAGAAATGAGATTGTTGAAAAACCTGGAAATACTATCTGTGGAAGGAAATCAGTTAGATTCATTACCTTCTGAAATTTGTCTTCTTAAAAAACTTAGAACTTTGAATCTCAATCATAATCAGATATCATCATTGCCACGAAAATTTTCTGAACTATCAAGACTCAGATGTCTTTTGCTCGGTTATAACAACATTGAAAAAATCAATTTTGCTTTAGAAAAACTTGAAAGGCTAGAAATGTTAGACCTCAGTGGAAATAATGTGACCCTCCCAGACTCTATATCTACCATGAACACATTAAATTCACTCTTTTTAAATTCCTGTAACATTTCAATATTCCCAAAGATAGTTTGTTACATTCCAAATCTAAATAAGCTTAGTTTGTCAGAAAATCAGATCCAAAGTTTACCAAAAGAAGTCAAAGAACTCAAATATTTAAAAGACTGTTCATTAAGTAATAACAAGCTTACATTTTTGCCTGTGCAGCTTTTTCAGTTGGTAAATATTGAAAATCTGAGGCTGGATAACAACCGGTTAGAAAGTCTTTCAGTTAAAGTAGAAAACCTTAAAAAGCTTTGTGACCTTGATCTTTCTAAAAATCTTTTAAAAATAATTCCTGATTGTCTTTGCAACTGTACTATGATAGAACGCCTCAACCTTAATGACAACCAATTAAGAGAGATTCCTTCCACTCTATACAGATTGAAATATCTAAGAGAATTGTATCTAAGCAGAAACCAACTGATCTGGTTAGATGAAAAAATAGCATACATTAAGAAACTCTTAATTTTAGAAATATCAGGAAATTCATTAATGTACATTCCTGTTGAAATAAAAAGCTGTACTGGAATCATTAAAATTGACTTAAGTTATAATAAATTGGCTGTGTTTCCACTTGGATTGTGCGCACTAGCTGCTCTTAAACACTTAAATATCAGTGGAAATTATATTTCAGAAATAACTATTGACATTTCATTTCTTAAAAATCTGCAGCATCTAAATTTCAGTAAGAACAAATTGCCATCATTTTCCATACATCTTTGTACTCTTTCTAGATTGAACTATTTAGATCTAAGTAACAATGAAATAAGCACTGTCCCCACACGTGTGCACCAAATGCAATGTCTTCGGGTTCTGCTATTATACAACAACAGATTTACTTTGTTTCCAAGAGAATTATGTGTTCTAAGTCATTTAAAGGTTCTTGATCTTTCTGAAAACAAAATACAGTTCATTCCTGGAGATATTAAGGAATTATCAAAGCTAAAAGACTTAAATCTATCAGACAACCAGTTTGCATCATTTCCAAATGAAATATGCCAACTTTTATCATTGCAGAAGTTAACTCTGAGTCAGAAAAATGGATTAAGGGTAAGCTATTTAAAATTATGACACTTTACATTGGCTGGGAAATTCTGAAAATAGAAGTTCATACATCTTAATGGTGCCAGGTTTGAAAAGCATGGT